CCCGCCTCTTCCCACCACTGCCCCATCCAGACAACTGCTGATCTGATTTCTGTTGCTACAGATCAGCTTGCATTTCCTAGAATTTTATATAAAAATCATCATTTGGACTTCTTTTTTCAGGGGAAGGTCTGTCTGTCTTCAACAAATTATTCTGAGGTCCATCCATGTTGTATATTGATAGTTCATTTATTTACATTGCTGAGTAGTGAGACATTGTATTTGCTCATCCATTCACCTGTTGAAATACAGTTTATCTAAAGATTCTTCTTGGATTTTCTGTGTATACAATATGCTATCTGTGATAATGGCACTTTTATATCTTCCTTTCCAGTTCTTATACATTTTCTCTCTTTTCCTACCTTATTGCACTGCTAGGACCTCCAATACGGTGGTAACTAGAAGTGATGACAGTGGACTTCTCTGTTTCTTCCCTGATATCAGAGGAAAAGCTTTCAGTGTTTCACCATTATGTATGATTCTACCTGTTGTTTTTTTGTAGATAGCCGGCATCTGAGTTAGAATTTTCCTATTTCTAGTTTGCTGAGAGTTTTTAGCATGTATTGGTGTTAAAATTGATTAAATATTTTATATTGCTGGAATTAGTTTATTAATATTGTGTTTAGGATTTTTGTATCACTATTTATGAGAGGGATTAGCCTGTAGCTCTCCTTTCTTGTCCTTGTCAAGTTTTGGGATGAAGATTACATTGGCTTCACAAAATGAGCGGTAACTGGCCACTACCTTTTCTGTTCTCTGCAAATGTTTATGAAAGAGTGGTGTTAGTTTTTTCCTTCTGTGTTTAGCACACGTCACAGATGAACCCATCTAGGGCTAAAGTTCTTTTGTGGGATTATTTTTAAGTTATCAATGTTTTAAATAGATATAGGACTATTAAGATTTTCCACTTCTTCATATGTCTGTTTTGGTAAGTTGTGCTTTTCTCAGAATTCTCCATTTCATATAAAGTATCAAATTTATTTGTATAGAATTGTTCATAATACCCTTTTATTAGCTTTTTAATGTCTATAGGATATATATTAGTGTATTCCTTTTTGTTCCTGATATTGGTTATTTAGTCCTTCTCTCTTTTTTGCTTAACCTGTCTTAATTGTTTGTTCATTTTCTTTCTTCAAAGTTTCAATGCTTGTTGATTACTTTCCATTGTATTGTTTTCTCTTTCTTTAGTCCTATTCTTTTATTTTTTATTTCTGTTCTTCTGCTCTCATTAAGTTTAACTTCCTATTTTTTTCCTAGCTTCCTGAGTGAGTGCTTACATCATTGATAGTTACCTTTTTTCTTCCCTGATATATTTAAGACTATAAATTTCCCTTTAAGCAGGATTTAGTGACATTCCCATAAGTTTTGAAATGTCATAATTTCATCAAGTTTAAACTAGCAGTTTTTTTCCTTATTATAAAAGCACTATCTGCTTAATGCCCTAAACTTGGAAATCAGAAAATTAACTGGAAAAAACAAAACATCTGTGCTTCTTGTTGTTCGTTGCCGTCAAGTCGATTCTGACTCACCGCAACCCCGTGTGTGCAGAGTAGAGATACTCCATAGGATTCTTAAGGCTGTGACCTTTTGGAAGCAGATCGCTAGGTCTGTCTTCTGAGGCACCTCTGGGTGGATTTGAACCACCAACCTTTCAGCTGGTAGTTAAGCACTTAACTGTTTACGCCATCCCGGGACTCTTACGTCACCCAAAGGTAACCACAGTTAACATCCTGGGATATAGACTTCTAATATTCTTTAATGTGTATTTCAATTTTCCTTTAAAAAGTAATGTATACACCATAGAAACACACACATGTATTTAAAAGTATGATGTATTTATTGTTTTATAAACTTTTTTGCCACCCTCACTCTTTTAAATTACTATTTTATAGTCTTTTTTTAAAAAAACTGATCAATAATGTAACAATTCTCAACAGAGGAACAGTTTATATTATAGTCTTACCATGTACAAAGAGAAATAAACCACAGAGGATAAAATTGGTAATTAGCTAGATACACTGGAAGAGCATACAAAGAAGAAAGATACTCATAGAGAAGCTAGAGAATAAATAAGAGAAGCACTTTGTATATTATTCTTAGTGGATAATAAGGATACATTCCCCCCCACCCCCGCAATGATCTATAGCATCAGTTCCCAAATGGGTTTACTTTGGATCATAAAATACTCTGTGGCTTACTTTTCTCCAGATCATTGAAGTCAAGCATAGACTTTTTGAATAGATATCAATGAGAAGAAATTTAATTTTTTTCTTTTTTTAACTGAACCTGGAAGATAAAAAAGCAAATTTCATAAACAGTGGTTATTTTTTGAACATTAGTGTTTTAAAAGACCAGCTCAAATGTCAGCTATTAAAAGATGTGTATGAATCAGTATTGGTCTGTCAGCTATACTTATCAGCTTCTTAATATTTATTAACACTTGTGAATAAAAATTTAAAATACCGTATTCAAAAATCCAGTGGTGATGGAGATTAAATGTACTAATCATGAACTAGACAATAATCCAATATATCATGATTTTATGAAGAGTAGGATTGGCTTCATGCAAAGTTCAAGATAGCGATAGAGTTTGTAGATATGGTTGCCAAGTGAATCAAGAGAAAAATGAGAGCTCTCATTAAAAAAAAAAAGTAATATTTTTTCATCATTTCCAGAACATAGTATCTAACTTGACAGACCTTCGTGTGTGTGTGTGTGTGTGTGTGTGTGTGTGTGTGTGTGTATGTGCGTGCTATGTGTATGTCAGATGAAAGAGATGAGGTTTAATATTTGTTAAAATACTTATGGGTTTTAGATGACTGTATTTTCAGAGTAAGGTAAGCATGATGTGACTGCTTAATCAAATTAATGGGAGTTTAGGCAGCATAAATAGACTCATAGTGTCCAGAACAAGGGAAGAAGTAGCTTTTCTGAGCAGAGCATCTAGAGCATTATAATAAGTAAGGTTGATATCTCAGGCACATTGGATCCAATGGCTACCTGGAGCTCTGTAGTGCGAAGCATTCTTGAGGCTATTGAGGAAACTTAGCTGAAATATGAAAGCTATCTTGAAGAACTCCAGTGTGGAAGACAAACTAGACATGCTGTACCTAATTCCAGAGGACAAGATTAAAGTCCTTGAATAGAAATTATAGGGAAACAGGTTTTTATTCAATATAACCCAAGTCTTCCTTTTATACGGTGTTTCAGAAATTTCATATATATTATTTAATCGTGATTTTCTTCACAATAATCTTTGATAGTTGGTAGTGTGCAGCTCAGAAAAATCTAACAAGAACTTTTCAAAACTGAGAATTGTCTGAAAATCAAACCGCTTCATGGCACGGTAACAAGTGTTGCAGTTCTAGATCTCTTCAGGCAGGGTCTGGAGAGCCACATGTTGAGTATGACACAAAAGGATGAGGTATAGACTCCGCCTGTGTCCTTTACTGGCGTACATACCACCAAGGGTATGCAGATGTGCTTTAGATGTAGCATATAATTTTTATAATAATTATTTTGTTTCAATCTCCATATCCACCCTCAAGTGTTACGTGCCATCTTCTGTCAACTCCACCTGGTGCCATTTATTCATTTGAGACCTTTGTCGTTCCAGAAGTAACCCAATGCACTGTTTCTCCTTCTGACTAATGTGTTGCCTCTTCTAGCCAATCCTATGAGTCAGGGCCTATCCACTGTGCTTCCTTCCTGTCTTATCCTCCCTGGCCACCTAATTCGGTGGTGTACTAGAGCTGACTCAGGAGAATCAGTTGTGCATATCTCTTCCCACTCAGTAATAATCACACTGGTAGTTTGAAATTAGCCATCGTGGGAGTGTTTACACTGGGGAAATCGAGAAATGAGTTATTAGCTGTTACTAGCTGTTCACCAGCACACCACTGATTCATTTCGTTTTATTTACCAGCTTCTGCTGACCCACAGCGCAGACTTTATCTCCATTTCATGGGACCTATTGTTAATCCAAAGGAGCAGTCATCATTTTTTTTTTATTCTCACTCATACAAGTAACTCTTAGAGGGCACCAAAATAAGATTTAAAAAACATAAGAATTCATGTTTTGTTTTGTTTTTTTACCACAACCATAGGAATGAAATTTTACTCCCAATAAAACTTTAACAACTCTTACGTTCTTAAAAACACACCACATATCATAAATTATAACAACTGTGAGTATATATACCATATTTTTATGCAAATAACATGTGCTTCTACATTTGTTTAAAAACCGGGCCCTCCCCTCACAAGGTGTTTTCATAAGCACACTATGCTAATTTTTTTACAGCAACAAAAAAATTAGCATAGCATGCTTATAAAAATACCTTGTGGAGACTGAGTCCAGCACAGCTAGATGGTGCCCAGCTACCACCACTGACTGCTCTGGCAGGGATCACAGAGCTGGAGAAAAATGTAGAACAAAATCCTAACTCACAAAAAAAGACCAGACTTACTGGCCTGACAGAGACTGGAGTAACCCTGACAGTATGACCCCCAGACACCTTTATACCTCAGTAATGAAGTCACTTCTGAGGTTCACTGTTCAGCCAGAGATTAGACAGGCCCATAGAACAAAACGAGACTAAAGGGGCATAGTAGCCCCGGCGCAAGGACTAAAAGGCAGGAGGGAACAAGAAAACTGGTAATAGGAAACCCAGGGTCGAGAAGGGAGAGTGTTGACGTGTCTTGGAGTTAGTAACCAATGTCACAAAACAGTATGTGTACTAATTGTTTAATGAGAAGCTAGTTTGTTCTGTAAACCTTCATCTAAAGTACAATAATAGAATAATAATAGCTAATAAATAATAAAATAAATAAAAATACCTCATGGGGGGAGGGCCCAGCTGGCATACAGACGTAGAAGACATTTGTCATTTGTGTAAAAATATGGTGTACCTATACCTGCCATTCTTGGAAAAAAAGTAGGCTGTTAATTTTTATTATGGTTATTCTCAGGGTCTTTGATAGTGTAGTTAGTGTGAGCTAAGGTTGAGAATCCCTGAAATAAATATTTTAAATTCCTTTTCTATTGGAAACAAGATTCAATGGAAATTTTACTTAGCCTATCACGTTTATTATGGTTCCGTTTTACCGAAACTTGTTGCATTTTATTTTTCTTTTATAGATGAGGATCCTCATGACCAACCAAAGAGAAAAAGAATTAGAAGGCGTAAATCAAAGAAAAATGTAAAAAATCCCAATAATGTCCATGTAGAACAAGCAGAATTAGAGAAACAGCAGAGTCTTTTAGGAGAAAAATTACAGCCACAGCACACGGATGGCCCCATAATAAGCAAAAATAAAAAAAGGAAACTGAAAAAGAAGGAGCAAATTAAAAAGAAGAAAGTAGCTGGCTTACTAACAAAAGCTTCTGGCATCAATTTCATGTACCAGCCTGAGGAGAGGAACAGTGAACAAGAAGAATTAAGAAATACTGATGAGGAAGATGGTAAGGACGGCAATGAGGAAGACATTCAAGACACCAACCAGGAAGATGTTAAAGACACCAATGAGGAAGACATTCAAGACACCAACCAGGAAGATGTTAAAGACACCGATGAGGAAGACATTCAAGACACCAACCAGGAAGATGTTAAAGGCATCAGTGAGGAAGATGTTAAAAGTACCAATGAAAAGGCAGATGGTATCCTAAACTTCTTGAAGTCCACACACGAAATTTATCTCTATGATGGTATGTTTTTTTCCTTAATTTTTCTTTTGAATAGTATTTTGAAATTTTGAAAAAAAGTAGTAAAATGTTTAATGTGTAAGCTATAAAATGTATTAAAATATTCAAAATAAATAATTAGTTGAGAGACAAAAATCAGAGTATTTGAATTCTTTCTACCAAAGATCCAGACTAGCAAGCACATTGCTCAATGCATATCAAAAGAAATAGAATACAGCCAGCCTCAGTAAAATTATGACTTCAGATGTGGGTTGGTCTCATGATCAACTTATTTCTCTAAAATCAGATGTTGGAATATACTGGTATTCTAGGCTCTATTTCTATATGAAAAATAATTACAGATCTGAGGCTTTGATGAACTCATGTTCTTTTTCATAAGCTAATTAAGAAGTAAAAGAAACACAACTATCTCCTTTAGGA